AGAGAAAGCAGAAATTTGGCCAGCCAAGGGGAAATGCAAAGAACTACCCAGGTTGTGAGGACAGGGTTTGGATGGGTTTGGGTTATGAGTCCAGCTGTGGTTTTCTCCCCTGAGGCCCTGGCTTGCTTGCACCCTGGGGCAAGGACATGGGGCCAGGCTGCCAGCAACCGGCACAAGGGCAGCACAGGCTGCCCTGCCCGGGGCTGGGATTTCCTCCTTTGCACAGCTCAGGAGGCTCCTCTTTCATTGCACAAGATCTGCTCATCTTCCACCAAACCCAAACCCCGTCGCTGGAAGCCCATTTTGGGAACCCCGCAGCCGAGCCGGTGCCCTCACTCCAGCGAGGGCATGCCTCTACCTGTGGACGAAGGTGGGCAGCATTTTCACTTTGGCAGTCTCATGAGTCTTCTTCTTCAGCCCCGCTTCCATCTCCGCCCTCATCCTCTTCTTCACCTGCAGCAGCTGCTCGTGGGTGAGCTTGAACTCGGCCAGCGAAAAAAAAAGGTGCTGTTCCGACAGCCGGTACGCCACCGCTGTCACCATCGCTGCTCCCTTCCCACTGCCGCTCTCCGACAGCAGGAACCGCACTTCCGAGTCAGGCACCAAGCGCCGGGTGGTTTTATGCAAGCGCCGGGCGTACCTGCGGGGAGGGGAGGCTGCAAGCCCGCTGTCTGCATTGCCTCCCCCGCGGCCCCCAAAATCTATGCTGCCGACACAGACCGACTGCAAGGGGAGCGAGGAGCCTCATCGCACCCAAACTAGCTACAGCCCCCCAAGTAGGAAACTGCCAAGAAAGAGCAGTTCTTCCCTATGGCCTCTTCCCTCCTAAATTTCTAAGAAAAGCCAGCAAAAAGCAGGGGAGAGCATCAGAGTCTCATCCCCTGAACCTGACTCTAGATGGGAGAAACCCCCTGGCTCCAATGCTGCTCCCATCTCCTCTCCTGGGGTCATTCAAGCTGCCCTGAACTCACTGGTTTAGATGGTGTGGGGAAACAGTTCAGAAACAAAAATTGCCCATGTATGTTACCTTAACACACCCTAGACCTACCTACCTGGAAAAGCTTGTCAAAATAGCATTCTTGGTAACTTTTTGGTTTGCCAAAATTTAATGTTTTTCTTTACCTAAGGAAAATTTTTTTTTCAACAAAATAATGAGAAACTGAAAATGAAATGTTAAACATATTTCTCCTTTCAAAAGTTTCCTCATAAATGACACTCAGACCTCCCAGCTCCAATGCCAAGGTATGCCCTGCATGCTGTGCTTCTGCTCCCCCTTGGTACCCAGCTAAATCCTACAGCCGAGACTGGGAACTGACTTGTTATCACCAGTTATTATTTACTAAATAAAAGCCTTTTACCATGTGTGCACAAACCACACCTGCACACTGCATATTTCTTCCATTTCTTTACTCTGAACTTGGAAACCCTTAAGAAGGTGCTGCTCTCCCAGCGCACAAGGCCAGCAGCCACTCCCAAACATCCGCAGCATTCGGGCTTGGGCACTGGGGTTATTTTTGACACTAAGACCCACACCAAACCCTGTTACCAGGGCCAGGTACACCCACAGCAGAAGGGCTCAACTTCCTCTCTGATTTCTACATAAATCTAAACAGCTGTTTGATTAAAAATGTAACTTTCAAGATGGGGAAAAACAAGACAAAGCCAGTTTTTAAAAGGCCACAGAAATGTAAGCACCAATTTTTTCCCCTGGTTTCAAAGTATATCTTCAGAAAGACCGAAAAAAATAGGGTTCAGCACAGTCATTTTCAAAACAACTGAGTTTAAACTGAAAATGGAGATCAAGGTGCATTAATGCAGGTCTCCTCACAGCCCAATCCATGGGCACAAAGTAATATTTTGTACAAAGAAACTCTCCTTCCAAGAGGTCTACTGAGATCCCTTAAGGTATGTACTCAAACCACCATAGTTTTCACTGATATTGCAGTATCCAATTACTCAGGGTTTTGGTTCTTTTCTTTGTGGTTTTGTTGTTTTTTTAAAATCTCACCCTACTTCTTCATTGAAGACATCTCTCCTTTCCACTAAACTCAGACCAAACCCCCACGCCCACATTTCGGGTTCCTCATCTCACAACCAAACCGCACAAGTTTGGGGTGACATCTTGGGGTTACACGCTCGACCCTTTGCAAACCCGGGGCCATGGCGGGTGAAGAGTGTTAACGGCAGGAGCAGAGGGACTCACTGCGGATGCATCTTGTAGAGGGAGCCATCGACGCCGACGGTGGTCCGGAGGCGGCCAACCCCTTTGTTATCCCGCAGCTGGTTGAGGATGGCACCCAGTGTGGAGGCTACCAGGTTGGCTGAGCGGAAGGACACAATGGTGCAGACGTGCTGGACGGCAATGCAGTCCTCGTGGGACGGCTCCACCCCCAGGCGGGTTAAAATTTCTTTGGCTTTGTTCAAACCTTCTTTGCTCCTACGAGGAGAGAGCAGAAAAGGGTACTCCTTAGTGGGGGAGCTATAAAACGTAGGACTGAGGCCTATCCAACCATGGGTGTCCCTGCCTGGGGTTTGAGAAAGGGGTTAGAAAGAAAATTTCTTCGACATCTGGACTGGGAAGCTCCATGAGGCTTGAAATAAAATGCTCTAAATATGCATTCATTCACAGATGGGAACAGCTTTCCATTAAAGCCTGGTGCAAACATGCCACCCACAAACCATGCCATTCCAGGCACTATAGCAGCCACCCTACGGGCAGGATTACACCCGTATGTACCCAAGAGCCTGCCCTCCTTCAAGTTGGTTTCCCACAAGGTAGGGACTACATTCCCACAAGAGAGGTACATCATGTCACTGGAAACCTGTCCAACGATAATCACGTGCAATTCTCTCTCCAACACAGACCACATTTTCGTTGTGCCAGACGATCAGACCAAATCTCGTACCGAGCGAGCTTCCTGTACTCCGAAAGTGCACGCACGAAGCGTGGGACCAGGACCAGCCCCGTCCTGCGGAGCCAGGGCATCCCCCAGGAGCACAGCCTGTGTGGTAGCTCGGGCTGCAGTTGGTCCCCAGACCCAAAGCAGAGCAGCAACCTCATGACACCTCCTTCAGCGCACCCCCAAGAAAATTAGCAACTTCCAAGCACTTTTACGGACCTGGAGGAGTTAAATGCTTTTTCACCACACTGATGCTTTAAACTTCAACCAGCTTCTCTCTGGAGCAGGAAGCACCAGCCCCACAATTCAGCACAGGCCTGAGCATACACCTCATCCCACGCTCGCTCGCTCATATGTCTCAATAAATTAAGCCCAGTGTGAAAAACAAAACCCTGAGCGAAGGTTGCCCAAGTGATTTCATCCTAATGGGTCTCTTTTCAGGCTTTTATAACCTCACTGAATTTCTGCCTCTTGCACTGCATTTTCCCTCATTAGCACTCAGCTTGAGAGCAAAGTTTCTGGCAAAATTTATCCACGTCCAGCTCAGTCATTTTCCAGACAAAAACACAAGGAGTATATCTTGTCATTACTAACTGCACTCCATACATCTTTTTAAGGCCTCTTGCTAGCATCAGCTAGAAATGTGAAGCTGTACAGGGACGTGCCCCCTGCTTATAACCAAAGTGCTCTTCAGGAAGGGAGGTGGGATTTCAGGGCAAATTTTGCTCTTAATAACTGAATTTCTCAGTAACTGCATTTTCCTCATTGTTGGTCAACATTACACTGGTCCACTACATGGACCTCTGTGGTTAAGATGAATGAGCACACACATTTAACGGAAAGCTGTTCAGATAAGACAGTCTGCAGGGACAGGAGTAAAACGGGGCAAGGGGCAACAGGCTTGCAGAAGTTACTGGCTGTTCCCTTGGCGTTGCACTCGCAATCGACAGTACCTCTATATGTGTGCACCAAAATCAACAACATTTCAAAAAGAAGAGCCAGCCCAATGACTACAGTACAAACTATCCCAGTGATGTGAATTTTAAAAACGCAGGGGGAAGAGCCAGTAAGTACTGACCAAAAGGGTGATGACACCGTAAGAAACCAACTGGCACATAGCTCAGAGGTCACCATGTAGCACCCGGCACTGCCTACGAGACTGAATGCTCTGCCTTGTCATGCTTCTTTTCTTTCTGCCCAGCGATCCCGTGGATACAGCAAGGAGCAACACAAGTATTTGCTAGGAGGCACTAAGCCAATTCACTCCCATGTTTAGCTGCAGGGTAGCAACTTCTGAGTTTTTGTGAGCAGGGTGAGAGGTAGCACAGCGCGTACCCTGTAGCTGCACAGACTGGTAGGCTTTCACAGTTCCTCCCAACACAGAAAAAGGGAGAAATCTTGGAGAGAAGGGCACAGACTGTCTGCTGGGGGTCCCCACATGCCAGATCTGCACTTGCACTGGAGGATGGCAGCCACCACCAATGCAGCACATCGCCCCACAAAGCAAGAAGAGATGCTAGAAAATGAACATTCAGAGTCACTGTGAAAGCCAGGGGGTGAAAAGGGATAGGCACTCACTTTTCTATGGCAGAAACGTGCTTCGTCTCAAACTTCCCTTTGGTGAGAAGCTCAGGGGTGATCCTCCCCTCAAAGAGTAGCCCCTCCTTGGCCATCTTCACCAGGATGAGCCTCACCAGCTCCCCCATGTACAGCCCGCTGACCATCTTCTCAAACCTGCAGGAGAGGACAGCAGCAGTCACCCACCCATCCACAGGCAACACTGGGAGGCAGAGCCCAGCTGTGGCACCGCACTGCCCGGCCCAGCCTGCGGTTTGCCTCACCACGGGCAAAGTCGAGCCTTCTTGAACTGCTGAACTCATAACACAAGTGGAAAAGGGACCACAGGGCGGAAAACAAAAGAAGCCAAGCTCACAAATAACTGCCTCACTCACAGCTGCTTCCCAGGATTAAGGGATCCACGGTCGATCTCTCGATCAAACTCGGTCCTGATGTCTTCGAGCGAGCCATCATCTCCAAAGGCCCCCCACTCCGTGTTAATGCACATCCTGCCCTCGTCCCCTTCCACCAGGTCGATGTGCCGCATCTCCTCCATGTAACAGGCATTGGTGCCAGTGCCTTTAGGGAAAGGACATCAGAAGCTGCTAACCAAACAGGCCAGGCAAAGGGAGAAAAGCCACGTGCATGCTGCAGCAGCAATGTGCATTACCAATGATCAAGCCAACTTCGCAACGCTGGTCATCAAAACCACAGGTCATCATAGTCCCGACGGTGTCATTCACAACAGCCATGATATCTGCATCGTAGTCCTGTGGAGGAACAAAACGTTACTTGGACCATATGGCTCCTCTGGAAAACGCTGCTTGTATCAACTAATTTCACAAGGAACAGGAGATAAATAATTTGTCTGAATACCACAGCTCATCTTTTTAAATATCACCTGTCCCGCCTGCCAGTTCCCTATCCCACGTACCCAAGAAGACAACGAGAGCAGATGAATGCACCAGGCAAACAATAAAACAGCAGTAGTGTAATTCTAGAGAGCAAAGACCTGCTCTCACATAAGCACCCTTAGGCAGGAAAGAAAAGGGCTATACATGAGGGAGGGAGGAACTCTGCAGTTAAACATCATGGAGTAATTTGGTGCAGTTGCTTGAGGAGTCAATATAGGAAATATTCCCAAGTTACGTATTTATCATAGAATTCACTTAAAACATCTAGGAGTTTTATTTCAAGTGAAGATTTTAATACAAAAATATAAGCAAATAATGCAATTAAATAAGCTATCCAAGCTACTCATTCCTTTCCAGCTTCTTCAGTGTGTTATTCTACCTGATACCAAGTCTGATGATGGTAACTGACTACAGTAATGTTGTTGGGTGACAGTAAAACTCACGTTTGCTTAAGAGTCCACAACTGCTCAAAGAGAGCAAATACTGCCCAGTTTCCAATTAATTTGGATGCTGAGGAATCAACACATCACCTGGCTGCAAGCACTACGCAAACCCAAATTCACTCCACCTCACGCTCAGTGCCTTTTTATTTGTTTAAATCAACAACCTGGTCACCTTCACCCTCTATAAAATCAGCAGTGAGAAACTGCAGGGAGCAACACAGCTCACTGAGCCTGAAATCCCCTTCTCTTCTACTCTGCTCCTCTCCTGCTCCCAAGCAAGGCAGCTGCACAACTCAGCTGAGCCCAGACCATGAGACGCAGTTTCTCAGGAATGGGACATGTCGGTATCACTGAAAACACACTGACACACTGCACTTTCTCAGTTTTTGGAGAGTGACAAAATTGCCAGTGACAAACCACAGCATAAGAACTCAGTTTTGTGCTATGAGGAAAATCACAGCTTCCACATAGCAACTCTGACGTCACTCCATTTTCCCAGCAAACGGCAAAACTGCCCATCTTCATGCAAGAAAGCAGAGCTGCACCATCGCTCAGATCACGCGCTCAAGTCAGTGACACGAAGGGTGGTCCCTGACAAGGAAACGCCAGTTTGCTGTGATACAGAGTTAAAAAAAGAATGGAGTACAATTTACCCCGCGTTTCTTGATGGCCTTGTTAAGCAGCCTGACAACATCTGCTCCCTCCACTCCGCTTGCTTTGAAGCGTTTCGTCCAGGTTATCAGAATACCCTGATAAAACAAGAGAGAAATATTCAACAGGATGCCACCATAAGACACAAATTGATTTTTTTTTCCTTAAAAACGAGATTTTACACTTCAAATCCATCTTCAGGTCTCTTTTCTTATATGACCTAACAACCCAACCTGAGACAATTGGCGGTCTTTGATTCTCATTCTTATTACAGTAAGCTGAAAGACGGGAATTGTTTTCCCCTCCCTTGCTAGAAAACGGTCTGTCTGCATTTTGTATTTTCAGCCCACTCTTCTCCCTGTTACTCCTCGACAGTTTTTCTTGGAAAACCATTTAATCCTTTTGGGCCATGGAAATTGACTGCTTTCAGAAAAAGCTGACTGCGCGGGACTGACTAAAGGGAAGGGATGTGATGTTTGTACGTCCAGGACTCGGCTGCAGCGGGGATCAGACTGCTGCACGTTTGCTGCCTGGAGTCCCAGCTGTCTGGGCTTGTTTCACTGTGGGATCATGTTTATGGGTTGAAGCAAATGGAAATACTGGAATGTGGCAATGTATGTCTCCGACTTACAGCATCGATCAAAAAGGAAATCCTGGTATTGAATTCCTTGTCTGCAAGCTGCCATAAAGAGTCTGCAAATCCCCCAAGGTAATGACTACATCTGACTTTTTTTCTATTTAGATAATGCCCAGCTGATTCAGAGCATTCAGTATGTAAGTAAATAGTAACAAAAGAAAGAAAAGAACATTGACAGTAGTTAACAGGAAAGATGACTCAAATCAACGCAGCTTTTCATACCCACCACAATATTCACATCTATCACAACAGGAATCCGAGAAGCTAAAAACCAGAAAAGCTGAAGCCTATAGACACAAGAAGCCATTGCCCATACCTCAGCCTAAAAATCAACCACGTGTCTTGTGCACATTTGCCCTCCCAACTGGGACAGCTACAGGGGACAGAGGGGTCAGGGCAGCTTTTTCCAGACCATCCTACCACTAAATGACAAACTCAGTTTGCCTAAGTTTTGCCACTGTGCTGCCCTCGTTAGCATCATTTAGAAACCCAGCAAAGCCCCACGCTGCTGCGCAGGGAAACCATGGGCAAAGCCCACTCCGCAGGCACAGCTTTGATGGGCAAAAGGGCCCCTTGTTCCACGTAACTTTTATCATTCAGGGAACTGGTCAAACCACACTGGCAAAGAGCAGCTCCTCTCAGCGTGACCGGCCGCTGCGCTGGAAGGATTTTTTGCTTTGCCAGCAAGGCCTTGGCAGCAGGGAGGAGCCCTTGGAGCACAGCAGGGCTGAGCAGGACCCAACCATGCGGTGCCACCTTGTCACCCTCGGAGAAACCAGGGACCACCCTGCCTCCTTCTGCTCACCAAGCACAAGAAACCAGCAGGCAAGCAAGCACAGCCTCACAGAAGCAGCAATCCAGGAATAAATCTGTCCCACAGAACCCAGAAAAACATATTTTTCAAATGCCCAAAATATCACAAAAACTCTCAGAAAGAGAGTTTGGGGGTTTTTTTTGCGGGGGCGGGGGGGGGTGTTTTTTTTTTTATTAAGAAACACCCTTCCTTGTCTCTTCCTATCTTCCTCCACTCTGCCACTGCTCATCTCCAAGTGTCTACAGGTGTCCCCCACCCATCCCACGTGCCACCGGCCTGCCCCTGCCCCACACAAGCATGATTTCATCCCAGCTGGCTTGAGCAAACCAGCCCGCAGACAAGCACCTTTCATCATGCAGCTAAACAAATTTTCTCAAGGGCAACTCAACTTCACAACCACATCCCCAGCACGACTCTGCTGTGGTCAGTAGCCTGAGCCTTACCGTGCACCACGGCCAGATTGGAGACCTGCACCAAAATCAACTCATCTCTTCTGAACCGATGCAGGAAAAGGCAGCTCTCTGTTCTTAACTATGTTCAGACCCTGAGTTAGTAAGCACCCTTGGTTTCATCTCTCAGCATCGCTCAAGAAGTATGAAATGTAATAAAAATCATGCCTCACCTGGCCTTCCTCAGCACCAACACCTGGGGAGCTGTTGCACCAGGCTAACCTAGAGACCTGCAAGCTAGAAAAGCAGGTCGTGCTTTAACAGTGCAGCCTCTTAGCGTTTTAACTTCACTACGTTAATTTGCTACACCATTGCCATAGCAATGCTGTACCAGGAGGCTGCTGAGTCATTTGTGATATAATGAGCAAAAGAAGGAAAATACCGTAGCATCCTTGTCATGGGAATCTCATCAGTCACTTCATACAACGCTGGTTATTTCCATCCCTTTTTAAAGCAGGTTGCTTCCAGGTGGCTTTCCCGATTGCCCTCAGTGCTGAGCACCCAGCCGGTGGCATGGCTCAGCGCTGCTGCTCAGGAGGGAGACCCTGATCTGGATTGGTGTGGGCACTTGTGAAGTTCTGCAAAATCTGAGCAAACGCTGCTGGGCTGAGTCCTTCCCAGTTACACCCCATGGAGAGGTGAAAAAGGCTGCACAGGAGGCAGGAAAAACTGCTGCCTTGTTTACACGGTAAACCATAATACTGAGGAGCTCAGGCAGAGGCAGTACAAAACATCAGATGCCTCTTCGTCATCTGTTAACCAGCTCTTTCAGACAGAAACATAAACACAAACATGAAGTCTGACAGTGAAATATAACACTCATTTATCCCAAAAATGAGACCTGTCTGGGATACTGCTTTCATAGCAGTGTTCTAATAACATGGTAGCTCTTCTGCATATTCAGAAAATTGTGAAATCTTCTTACCTCATCTAGCTTGGATTGTCGACACGGGAAAGAAAACGTAAACCCAACTGGTAATTTCTTGTCTTTGATTTGTTGTTTCTCCATAAAGTCTCCCAGGCATTCAGCAACATGATCAAAAAGCTGTAACAGAATGAAAAGTATAAAACCACCATACTGAGATACAGTTTCAGGGAGAAAATATTTCAAACTGCATTTGAAAACTGTACTGGGGGAGGGAAAAGGGGAAAAAATCTGCTCCAAATTTTTAAAGATATATAAATGACATAGCTATGAAAATACTCTCAGGCAGTGTATATTAACACCTTAATAAATAAATTATGAAATACATTGTCCTCTTACACACCTAATTCTGCACGGCATCTTTTACACCCATATAAAAACATTTTTCCTGAAACAAGGGACGTGTGGCTCTCATGAGCCTGCCATAACCCTTCCACTTAACATTTAATGAGAACAAAAATGTTCTTTTAACCTTTCAATAACAGGAAGGAGCATCTCAAAAGAACATTTGGGATCCAGTCCCGCAGGAGGTTGAGCACTTTTACAGTGATGCAGAGAAGATAACATCTGCTTCACTCAAGCATTGCTGAGACCAGAGAACCCAGCACTTTGCAGGAGCCACCCAAAAGGACATAATCTCTCAATTCTATTCCTAAAGCACACAACAAACAAACAAAAAGGAAACCCAGGGGATTCGTCTAAATATTTTACACGCTCTGAGAAACAACCCGAAATGGGAACATTTTCTACATTTTTTAAAATGCTGAACTATGCAGGCAGCCTGCACCAGGCTCACGGGTACCGATTCCCACGCCTCGATGGCCCCTCGATGGCACCCTGTGACAATAGCACTATGTGTCCCCACCAGTCAGGCCAGAAGCCAGGCATGCCAGGGAGCGTGTGGGCACGAAGGCAAGGGATGTCCCTCACACCGAGCTATTTGGAAAGCCCTTCAGGTAGATCGCAACACTCAAAGCTGAAATCAAGCCCTAGCAATTGAAGCAACCAAATACACATTTGTATCTACCAGTACCAAAAAGCCAGACATGCCTTGAACTGACCCATACCACAAATGGATGTCAAACTATTAACGAGTCGCCGCCTGCCCCAGAAGGTAACTGTGCTTCACATTTTAACTCCCCCCAAAAAAAACCCAAACAACCCCAACCCTATCTGCAGCATTGGTGGGACAAGGCCAGGAAAACTGCCCAGAAGATTGGGGATAATTGGGAGGGAGTACAAAAAGATACCTGTCGGTTGCAATTAGCCTGCGCAGCTTTATTAAGAACAATTTACAGAGTCTCGGAGAGACGGGAAAGCACTACAGACAGGCTGCAGCAATTACAAAAAATTAAGAGGAATATTTTGCCGTTCAAAGCATATCAAGAAGTGGCGTGTGTAATGTTACCATTTAACAGAGCACCTTAAACCCATTCCTAAAATGAGGTCAGATTTGATTAAGCAGAAGTACAGTAGTTTCCCAGGGAAAATGTTGCCATTCATGGTCCTGGGCAAATCAAGGACATTTCACTGAGCGCACGCAGTGAAACGGCATGGAAAGCAATGTACGGTGCTGCACTTCTGTAAGACCATTTCCAGCTGTCCAGATGAGGGAGAGAGGAAAAGGAGTTATGAAAAGAAGAACTACAGTTAAGTAATAAAATACGACAACTTCTCCAGGAGGAACACAGAAATAATAGGAGCGTATGTTTTTATTATGCTTTCCATCTGAAAGTATCTTGCTAAATACGCAATCCTACTAAACTTTTCAGCTGCTCCCAGCATTACAAATGATAACCAGGGGCCAACCTCAAACCCCTCAGGAATTCAGAGAGCAGGAAGCAGAAATATTGACTGTGGATGTTGCTACAAAAATCCCTCTCATGCAATGAACCACGACTGCACAGAGAAGAGAGGAGACCCGCTTTGTAAGTCCGACTGCAAAAGATCCCTGGGCATTCCCAACACACTCCGGGAAGTCCATGCACCTGCCGGTGTTTGCCCGTGCAGTCCCGGCACGACCTGCCGAAGCTCGCCTCCGTGAGTTAGCATGCACGCTTGCTGCAAGCAATGCACCGTGAGTCATTAGGGCTCTGGGCTGGCAGCGGGGCGCGCGCGAGCGTAACCCATGCCGCAGCCTGCACGGGCAAACACGGTTAACTATTAGCCACATTCTTGACACTACAGTAGCAGCGTCTAGTCAGTAATGCACGGTCTGGCTGTGCTACTGTTTTTAATAAAGCACAGAGGGAAGGCACTGCTCAAAAGGAGAAAAGAGAGAGGCATTTATGAATTTTGCTACCATTGACGGTCGTAAGAGTTCTCCTAAGGAGACTCGAGGAAGCATCTGTATGTGCCCGTGCCTGTATTAACATCCAAACCTTAAAAACGCCAAATAACTCTGAGGCAACATTACTAAGTTCCTGTGGATTTCATTAAAGCAGGGCAGGCAGATTGAGGGGGAAATCCAAATTCCCGTCCACCCACAGGTGTGCGGTAGGGAACAGAGTGAGCCCAGTATTTTATCAAATGTCAAAGAGAAGGACAGAGCGAACGCCGCAACCAAGAGGAAAGGACCAGTCAGATTTTACACCTTTATAGACCTGAAGCAATACAACCACGAGATGCTGAGCAATATGACATTCAGGCTTCATTACTTCCTCTGGCCGTGAAGTTGCCTGCTCAGGTTGGACTCCAAGAAGTCTCCACAAGGATGCATTTGGCTGGCAGGCAGCAGACTTTGGCAAGCAACTGAAGATCTGAGCTCAAGCTCAAGCCCCTGAATGGGGAAGATTTAAGGAGCAAGGAAACCACAACTTCAGATCGGGAGAACAGCTACAAATCCATAACCTACCCTCCAGTGGTGGCAGAACACAAAAAGCAACACCAAAATCAAGCCTCAGGCATGCTCCCATTCGCTGAGTTAACACGGAAGACAGGCTTCTTACAAATTCTAGACCTGCTATTACACTGCTGAAGTCAATGAGAGTTTTGCCCTTGACTTTGACAGGGAACTGTCTCCGACTGGCAAAGCTGTCAGCCTGTGCCTGACAGATGGGCAAAAATAGAAGTTTGAATGCAATGAAGTAGAAAATATCAAAACGAACCATGCTAGTGAGGCATGAAGCCATAAATTGCAATCCCTTCAATAAGCTGATTACGTATTAGGCTTTAAGAGTATAATTCACTGAAGTTAATGACACAGCTTGCTGAAAAACATATTAGTAGCCTACCCCGCACAGGCAGTTCAGTCCAAGTATTCCACTAATCTGGCTCAGAGATTTCAGAGAACCTCAACCGTACGCATCAGTCATATGCACCAATTCATCATCTGCCTGTGCACCTCCCGGGCATCCACCATGCTTCCCTCTGAAGTCTCACAGCAAGCATTTTAGTCGTGGTTGGATATTGTCATGGGACAACTTCGAACCCAGATGCAATTCTGATGATGCTTCTAGTTCTCCTCTTCTTTTCCTGGTACTGAAATAGTGGAGCGACTGTCCCCCCAGGGTCAGTGGAAGCCTTGCATGCCTCTCAGTTTAAAAGCCATGACAAAGCCTATCAGCCTGAGCTCCACGCTGCTGGCTCCCAACAGCCAAATGGCCTTCGGATATTTAAAAATTAAAACGTAAACATGACAAAGCCCTGGAAAGAATGCAGACCTGACGTCTTGTTTCCTGGCTTCTCCTTACCACCCTTATCGTGTCTCCATCAAGTCTCACCTTCAGTCAGCCTGCCTTGCCCCCCCCGGGACAGACACTTGCCCCCTGGGTGTGTGGGCAGCCCTGCTGCTTGTCGGTCTCCATCTCCCGATGGTCTTCGACAGACAATCCTCCTCAACGGACAAGCAACCCCGCGCCCCAAACCTGCCTGCGGGCAGCCCACCCGACTTCCCTGCCTCCACCAGCAACAGGCAGCTCAGCGCAGCTCCCCTCCAAAACTGTTCTGTGGGAAAACCGCTGCATGACCTTTTGGCCAGATAATGAAGTAATAATGTTAGGAAAAGCCTTTACAAGAAAGGTATTTTATTGCTGTGGTTCAGATATCACAGCAATGCTTGTATCAGTGCTACTTAGAAACCACGATTGCCATCTTACACTCACTATTGCATAAGAATGCAGCAGCAGTTATTAGATACATACATTAAGGGTATTCAGATGACCGCAGAAAATATATTAAGGGTAGAACTGCTGTTTGCATAATTTTTCTTTTTTTCCCCTCTTTTGTTTATTCTTCTGAAACAAGCTACAAGTTTCCTGCAGGTCTCATACTCCTAAATAGCATCTCGATCTAGTAAAAAGTGTAAAAAACTTGCTGTTTCCAACAATGAAAATTACCTGTTTTGTCTTACACTGACACGGAGACAAATCTGTCAGTAAAATATTCATTGTAATCCACTTCTGATCATAAAAAGAAAATAAATTCTTCCAAAGAACCCAATCTGAAATCCAAGTAAACGGATCCAAACATTTTCTACTCTTGGAACATGGGAGACTAAAAAAAACCCTATCATTTATTCAGCAAAACTTAAGTTGAAGTTGTGCCAAAACATTCTATCAGCTTCCTGTAATTTTTCTAATGTACTTGTATTTTTCATGAATGCTGAGCTGCTCAGACTGCCAGGACAGATATGTGGCTGTCATGGGTATTTCTATCCCTCATCTAACATTACAATTGCAGGGTTGGTCATGCTCATTGCTTACAAAGACTAAGTTGTTTTCCTGCTGTCCATTCCTACCTGTGGAAAGTAACTTTACTATTAAAAAGTCAGAATTTTTACTTCTAGGCCACTTTTTCCTAACTCGGCCAAAAGTCTCCCACACAGTGACAGCAGATTTGCAGCACCCATGCATGCTCTATTACACTAACTACCGCTTATTTTCAGTATCGACGAAGAGCTGTAGTCGAGTCTGTGCATGCTGTAGGTGCAACTGTTAAGATGCTAAAGTCATTCTTGTGTTTTTTTCCTAAAATGGCAGTGTGAAAGCAGCTAATCTTTAGAGAGACGTCCTAAAGAAGAGGTGCTTACCCGTGTTCCGCTGCCGTGCATGATATCTTCAGGCGTATTATAAATTTCGCTTTCCATTTGTACCGTCTGCTTTTTTTCATGCGATACCTTCACCCGCAGAATTCGGAAATAAGAACCACCAAGATCCAGTGCAATGAAATCTCCTTTCTCTATGTGGAAAACAAGACACAAGTGATTAAAAACTGCATGCAATACAAATCTGGGAAACATCAAGCTCTGTTAAGTATAACGCATAGACAAAACTCCAGTGCCTACGGCAAGGAAGTTCTAGCTGCAGGGTGTCCACGTGAAGCATCAACCTGATTCCCTACAATTTAACATGAAGTTGGTGCGTTTGGCAACGCCAACCACCACTGATACACAGGCACCTGCAATGAGGGTTTATCCAAAAAGAATGGACTAACAGTGGACAGTCTGTACCCACATCTCATGATGAAGCTGGCAGAGCAAAGATCTCAGGAGAAAGCCAAAAAGATGTTGAAAACGGAGACAGTAAAATGAAGGGATGCCAGACCACTGATGAGCAATCTTTTGCTGTAAATGAACCTGTGTCATTTTGGCAAATAACAGTGAACGGTAGCTGGATTGTGCACTACTCTAAAATCAACAAATTACACACAGATGTAGTTAAAGCAGGAACCACTTATTTCACTCCCAGAAGCTGATATTCACTGCAAACTGCAGTCAGAAAACAGAACTCAGAGAAACAACAGTCTGAAAAATCACAGGGCAGCCCTGCGCTGCTGCAGGAGTTACTCAGAAGTTGCGATCTCTTGCACAGAGCTCCTAAATAACTTCCCAGGAGCCAGGGAAAGATTTAGGATACCTCCATCTCCCTCTGTGGTGGAGAGGGATTTGGATTTCAAAGGTCTGAAGCCACCACCTCCACTGACTCCAGGGTGTAATTCAGGTGACAGAGGCGCGTGGTCTGGCTATCTGAGGAATGACACTTTCAGTACCCCCTGGAGAGTAAGTCAAATATATTTG